TGGTTGCACTTCCTTCTCATTAGGGTACTGGAAATTCTAAAATAGCCTAGATCGACTTCAAAAAATTGTTTTGACAAAAACTAATCGTGAATGAAATTAATAAGCCCAACAGATTAGTGGCTACGTCAATATGTTTATTCAAATCACGCAAGTGCTAAACAGGTTATCGTTTTGATAAAGTAAGCTATGTTTGGTTAGAGAAAATGTTCCATGGAACATTCCTTTTGTTATACTTGTTGTTAGTTGACGATTTGATTCATTAGTTTGTAAAAAAATAAATCAACACAGTTTCACAAATAACCCGCTTAGTGTAGCTTATTATACTATATGTAAAGATATTTATTATTTAGTTATTTTTTAGAATAATTAATAAATACCACCGCCGCAGCAAGCCTGCCGACTAAGCGAATTTCCATTTGTCTGAATAGATTTTTAACCAAACCTATTAAAATAACATTAGACATAATGAGTACCTAGGTTTGCTGCCTAAAGGAAACTAATAAAGTGTATTTTTTTGGAAAATATTAATAACTTAGTATAAAATAAATAAATTTGCCAAGTTTGATCAAAATATATCCATAAACAAGCAAACTACAACATTTTACAATATTCTCCATAAGAATAGCATGGGAATTTTAATTTTTTTTTTTTTTCTCCATTACCAATAACCGTACAAAAACACTTTGATATACTAAATTATTTGTTTTTAAGCTCTTTAAAAATGTTTGGAGAGAAATTAGAACATTTTGTGTTTTGAGGGTCAAAAATTAGAAAAACAATTTTTTACCCCATAAAACCCCCCGTAAAACTCCGTCCCATGGTCCGATCATATATAACAATTTGAACGAATGGTGTTTTTGGCCTCTGGGGACATCAAAATGAAAAAGTAAATCAGTCCCGGGCCTAAGTCTTACCGTGCCACCTACGGTAATAACTACCTCCCCATAGGGAAATTCGCTAAAACAGCTTAAATTAAAAAAGGTATAAATAGCTTATTGGACTTCGGTTCGAACCATGCATCCAAACTGAATGAAACCACAAAATTAACAAAATCTACTACAGTAAATATATAAGTCGATTTAAATGTTCCAACATGATTCAAATTCCAAGTGAGTAAACAATTGTATTTACTGTAGTTAATCTAAAGTTATTTTTAATGACCATACAAAATTAACAATGACACTGCCAATTAATTCACAATAACTCAAGGAACGATGTTTTATCGATTAATATACAGTGTGTGAATTAAGTTTTGAAACAAATCTGTATTTTTAAAACCAAAATATATAGAAATATTCTGTTTGTTCCACAATTTTTTACATAATAAATTTTTGTTAACCCCTTTAACAGGATGGCGGTGGGGGTGATTTATTTTTTTAATAACAACCCCTATTGAGTGACCCCTCATTTTGAAGGGTTTGTCAAAAGAAATACAATTACGCAAACCCAAGGTCAAACCAAACCTAAATCCCCTATATGAGTGTTAATTTCTTCCCTAGCCTTGGTGGATGTTCCAAAATTTTATTTATGTAAATAAAGCACCCATTTTGGAATACCCACCATTTTGGCTGGGGTGAGATATTGACCTCGGGTTTGCGTCATTATGTTTCTTTTGACAAGCCCTCAATAGGGGTTTCTATTAAAAAAAAAAACCCCTCTACTCCCTACCCTGTTAGGGGGGTTAAACAATTTTTTGTGTAAAAAATTGCGGTATCTTTGTTAAGAGTCAATGCTACCAACAGAATATTTTTGTCTGTTTCAGTTTTAAAAATACAGATTTTGTTTTAAGACTTAATTTACATATTGTACAGTGGAAAAGAGGTATGGCATTTTGAATCGTTGACTTTGATACTGCGAGTGTAGACCTACCTCTCGTACAATTGTTCTACTGCCCAGTTACGTATATTAGATGGTTTCCCCTACGAATATTAGAACAGAGGCGGTATGGATCGTAAACATAAACTTATTATGTCACTGGCCCAAATGTAAATATTATTTAACATCTTTACCATTGACTATATTAGTCGGTGACATTACTGATCTGTCCAAACCATGTTTAATGTTATTAATATAGGAATCGGGGGAGCGAGCTTGTCTAGTGGTTAGAGCGCGGGGCTCCGGTTCCTGGGGTCCCGGGTTTAAATCCCGCCAAATCACCAATGGATTTTATCCAAGTGATAATGCCGTAACCCCTAGGTCTAGCCTGAAGTAATGTGAAAAACAATTCCGGGTTCGTGCCTAGCGTCCTAGGACAAAAAAATATGTATAATATATATATAGGAATAGGGAATCGGGGCAGCAACGTCATTTGTTTATGTTTATGATCCATACAGTTTAATTCGAGAAAATTGTAATTAAAGTCGTGAAAGGATAAGAAATGATGAATTGGAATTTAACAAAACATCCTAAATTGTCCATGATCATTCATAAGGGTATATGAAGCGGCGACGGAGTATACTTCTTTTGCTAAGCAAATCTAAATACATTTTAAAAATAATAATTTATTAGGCCTAATTAAGATCAATAAGTATTTAATTAAAAAATGATGTGCATAAAATAAAAAAGTTACTTTTTGATGTACTGTATACAAAATTAAATAAATGTGTATAGCATTAAAAAAACTACAAAAATTACACAAATACCCCCGCCGCAGCAAACCTGCATACTAAGCGAACTCCCCTGGTTGGATTTTCACGAAAACATTTCTTTAAACATTTCAGATTTATTCCCCATTTCAATAACTTTAGGTTTACAAGTACTTAGGTTTGCTACTACAGGGAGGGATCAAAGTGTTTTTTTTTATTTTATTTTTTTATTGTTATCGTATAGTTGGAAATAAATACATTTGCCAAATGTTTATCAAAATTTATACACAAACAAGTAATACATTACTTTAATTTGTCTCCATAAGAATCATGCTAAAGTTAAAACTACAGTTTTTTTTGTATTTTTACCATAAACCTTATTGTACGACAATTTCTTCTATTTGCAAAACTTTTTAAATTTTTAACTTCTACACGATGGATTTTAAGGTCAACATTTTCATGTTTAAGGGTAAAAATAAAAACCACTTTTTTGACAAAAAATTTAAACCTTTATACGCCCTGTTCTTATGACCCGACCTTGCCAAATTTAATTAATATTAGAACAAAATCGCCCGAACTATCGTGTAGGGACATACACCACACACACAAACATACACTATTTTATAAGTTTCAACACATTTTCCCATAAAATGATAATAAAATCATCAGTCCCGGGGCTAGGTCATACCGTGCTGCTGCCTACGGTAATAGATTATTCCCTATTGGGAACAAGAATTATTTGAATGCTTGGAATCTAACAGCACAGACCCAAACCGACTTGGCTGGAGCCGGTCTTCTCAAAACAAAACGACAAGCAAACCTCAACCCTGCAATTATGGATGACTGAGATTACATAATAGAGTTCAAAGTGGGCAAAAACACTCACCATTCCATAGTAATATTACAGTTTGGGGGGGGGGGGGGGGGTACAATTATTGTACCCCCCACTATTATAGAAGCACCTGTTACTAGAAGCTCTAGCTCTTATATAACCGGGGACTTCACAAATTCTCCTCTGAAGTCAATAATGCAGTTATGATAATATCACAAGTCGATTAAAACACTACCATTCATAGCCATTGATGTATTGATGTTGAGGTCAACCACTAGAACAATGAAAAAAAATAAGGAAACTTTCCTGCTCACGTTTTTAGCACGATTTTGATTTCACAAGCAGTGCCTATCTGATCGAGTGAATAGTTATATAATGTTCGTGCTGTTTGAATTTGCCTTCTTAAAATTATCTTTTAATGTTTTTGGGTGAAACAAGATATTTATATTTGTTCTGTCATCGTTTAGACATACTCACATTTTTATTGAGTTTAAAAATGATAAGCTTATCAAAATTGCGATAAATACAAAAAAATCTTTAACTTAACCTTAAGATTGTTCTCGAAATTTCGGAATTTCCTCTAACATTGTCAAAACATAAACCCCCATGAAATACATATAATTATTGTCACATCTCAACAATGCCTTAGTAGTGTACGACAGTTCCCATAAATCTTTGATTATAAGGAAATTAGTTTGTTTGATTTAAACTGTATTCAATTTAATGTCGGATTTGATAATGTGTCATTTGCCCCGAAACTAATAAATCCTCAATAGACTGTAGGTACATTAAATTTTCATATACATTTTCATACAAGAAAATTATTTCAGCTCGAAAATACAATTTTTCATTTTAAAACAAAAAATATTTTTTTCAATTTTATAAAGTAGTTACTGCTTGTGTGTGTAAATTTGTTTGTGTAAGCAATATAAGAATTGAATTTAGCATAACTATCAATATATTTCGTCAAAGTCTTCTATATTTTTGTTACAAATAGATATTACAAAATTCAACAAAATTGAATTGTTTAAACATTTTATCTAAATACAAACGATTACTATAAATAATATTTCTTATCAACCGGTATTTTTTATGTTTTGGTATTTAACACTTTACTCGATTTTATAAAGTAGTTCCTGCTTGTTTGTGTAATTTTGTTTGTGTAAGCTATATAAAAATTGAATTTAGCATAACTATCAATATAATTTGTCCGAATTCATAAAGTAGTGTGTTTAATTTTGTTTGTAATAGCTATATAAGAATTGAATTTAGCATAACTATCAATATATTTTGTCAAAATCTTCTTTTTTTACAAATAGATATTAAAAAATTCAACAAATTGAATTGTTTAAACATTTTATCTAAATACAGACGATTACTGTAAATAATATTTCTTATCGACCGGTTTTCAATGTTTTGGTCTTCAACACACTTACCGTGCTTCAAAGATCCTGCGTGGATTAATCAAGAAAATCTTGTGGATCACTCATGCTTCGTCATGCTTCCACTTTTCACAAAAATTAACTTTTCTAAATTCAATTAATGTATGAAAACGATTCGTTTGTAAAATGCACTGCACTTACCATGTTATAACTGACAATGCCACTGACGCCGCACGTGTTGGCAAGTCGGCTGTTCTTCGCGTAGTGACCCAGGCAATCATTCCGCTGCTTTATATAACCTTGGTTATGTAACAATAGTAATCATGACCTGTTCACCTTTCTAAAACAAAAATTTTTGTTCAATTTAAATTTGTGCGCTTATTTTGTACTATAATCGGTATGACAAAGAGTTGTAGGCCTGCAGAAATGAATGAAGTCTACAAGCAAAATATTGTTACATAACCCAGGTAAGCGCGCCAGTTTTAACTGTTTGTAAAGAGTTAGATAAGCGATTCTCAAGCTTGCTCTGGTTGTTACAAATACATTTTAGCTAAGCTACTTCCTCGTTTCATAACACAAACTGTTGTTGTTAGCATTCTTTTTTAAATTTAAAGACTAATAAGATGTGCCGGTGTCTTTTCCTAATTATTTAGGATATGTTTATCCTCGAGGTACATTTACTGTAACTTTTATTCGAATGATAATACATTGCTAATCAAATTCCTTGAAAAAATATTATAAACATAACGCTGAGTTTTTGTCTCAATTAGCCTATACAAATTGAGAGGTAAATAAAACATGCGGTTTTTTTTACAATATCCGAATTTGTTTTGACCCCGACACAATAATGCCACATTAAAGCACGGTATGGATCACGAACACTAGAAAAATACTGGTATGGATCATAGACATAAACAAATGATGTTTTTGGCCCGAAAGTGAAAACCCCTATACTAATAAATTTAATTAACATAATGGTTTTGTTTACTTTCAGGCAAAAAACTTCATTTGTTTATGTTTATGATCCATACCGGGTCTTTTCTAGTATTCGTGGTATGGATCATAAACATAAACAGATGATGTAACTGGCCCGAAAGTAAACAGTAGGCTATTTTAACCTAGCTGTTACCCACGGACTTCACCTAAGGCCCCACTAGAAAAAGCTTGTTTTTTTCTAGTGGGGTCTTGCTTTACCACGTTTGACTTTATAAGTATTAATAAAACTATTCAATTGAAAGAATAACAAACAAATAAGTACAGGTGAGGTATTTTTTAAGATAAAGTATATGGAATGTTCCTTTTAGAATGGAATCGCGAATTTATGAAATAATGAATAGTTTTTCGCAAGGTTTCTCCTCATGACGAACATTTTAAGTATATGGGGGGTTTATGGGGGTGTGAATTTTAGTTTTCTCAAAAGTTCATGGGTACTTATTTGGGATTTATATGTGGATACTTGAACATAACCGGTATGGATCATAAACATAAACAAATTATGTTACTGGCCCAAAAGCACGAATACTAGAAAAGACCCGGTATGGGTCATAAACATAAACAAATTAAGTTTTTGGCCCGAAAGTAAACTAAAACATTATGTTAATTAATTAATGTTATTAGTATAGGGGTTTTTTTTTACTTTCGGGCCAGCAACGTAATTTGTTTACCTCTTTTTATGATCCATAGCGGTTCTGTTCAAGTATTCTCGATTAAAGCTGAACATGAGTAAAATCGACTTGAGTGGCTAGACCAGCTGTGTTTAAAGTTTGAGAATTGATAGAAGTAGTCAATGGTTTTATGCAGAATCAATTAAAGCATATGGTACAGTTTCGAACCAGAAAAATCTACTGACTTTTCAAGGTCCTATTAGCATCCCTTTGATTATGATGTAAACACTTACATCACTAACAGTTCCCTAAATAACTTCCTATTTTCGTCGTTTCGTGTCTCCGATAAGAACGATATTGGGAAAGTTCTGCTAAATAGGGTTATATTGGTTTGTATTACGTAGACAGCCTGCTGTATTTATCTCTATTCTAGGTCTATGCGATTGGGTTTTAGTTTCAAACTCCTACCAAGAGGCAAGACTAGTTTAAAAGATAGTACCGAGGTAATTAAATCCATTGCAAAGCTCCAAAGGGCCGCAAATATACAGGCTACGAATAACAATGTTGAGCTTATATCCAACAACCATTTTCTGTAGTCAGTACTACAAAACGTTCATATCTATGTCCATGGGATTTTAATTAAAATTATAATAAATTTAACTGTGTGAATCTACAAGTAGTTTTAAAACGTATTACCATAATAATGAGGTGAGCAATCTATATATATAAAAGGCAAAGCCCTCACTGACTGACTGACTGACTGACTCACTCACTCATCACTAATTCTCCCACTTCCCACTTACCTAGGAGGCTGAAATTTGGTACACTGATTCTTTAGGCATTAAATAGGGAAACTAAGTGGTTTTTATTCTGATCGGACTTTTGGGCTCCGCCCCAGTGGCTCTGGAGTTTCCCATGTTAACCTAATGAGTACTCATATTTAAATGGAATTAATGAATCATAACAGCTGTTTCAATGAAATAAGTTGGTTCTGTTCTATGATGTTCAATAGCATTAAAGTTACAAGGATTACCAACAGAGTGCAGCACTATTATTTTTTTAAATATTTGACAACAGCTAATTTGAAACCAAAAGGTGAGTGAGCGTAGCGAACGAACTACAACCCGGAGGCGAGGTAGCGTAGCGAACGAGGAAGGCAAGTGAGCGCAGCGAACGAGCTCCAACCGTAAAGGTGAGTGAGCGTAGCGAACGAACTTCAACCAGGACGTGTGAGCGCAGCGAACGAGCTCCAACCTAAAGGTGAGTGAGCGTAGCGAACGAACTTCAACCAGGACGTGGTATGAAGTTAAACGGGGCAAAGCCCGCGGGTACAGCTAGTTAATAATAATTGTAATTATTAATAATAATGAGGAATTATCATTTCTCTAACTAGTAACTAGGCTAACTGTTCTAATTTATAACTTAATTGTTATATAGTATTTAACTTATTTAACTAAGTTATATCATTGACATGGTTATATTATATAAACTAACCGTTTACTTTCTATACATTACGTATCGGAAAAATCATATAAGCCCTGATAAAGATTAAAAATCTCTAACATAAAATGTAAAACTGCTGACTTTTACTAGTTCCATGTTGGCGACACTTGAGTGCACTAAAATGTCGAAGAAATGTTTTTTTTTCATTTCACGGTAGATTTTACGGGTTTTGTCTGCAATTTTTGTTTAAATATTACAGGACAAGCAATAGTTAGTAAAGATCTCGTCAAATTTGGTCAAATAGATTTAAGATTATCAAAATACCCCCACCGCAGCAAACCTGCAGACTAAGCGAATTCCCATTCGCCTGATTGGGTTTACAATAAAATGTATCCTTAAAAATATCACATTTTATTCCCTATTTAAATAGTATTAGATTAACAAGTACTTACGTTTGCTGCAACAGAGAGGGTAAAAGTGTTTTTTTTATGTTATAGTTAGTAAGAAATAAAAACATTTTCCAAATTTGATCAAAATATGTTCATAAATAAGCAAACTACAATAGTTTACTTATTCTCCATAAGAATAACATGGGAATTTAAAATTTACAATTTTTTTGAATTTCCCCCGTATTTATTAGGCGCATAATAACGCTTTGATAAACTAAATTATTTGTTTTTAAGCTTTTTAATATGGTTTGAAAATAAATTGCTAAACTTTATGTTTTTTTGGGTCAAAATGGAAAAAACCAATTTTTACCCCATAACACCCCCCACAAACCCCCCGTTCCCATAATCCAATCATGCTGGTTCGCGAACTCGTTCAAATAAATGTAGGTGAACACGTTTGTTTACCTATCAAAAATCGAAAATCTCATCAAAATCGAACCATTTTTGCTCGAGTTATTACGCTTACGGACACATAGGCCTATATAAATATATTATGAATTTGAACGGATGGTGTTTTGGGCCTCTGGGGACATAAAAACGAAAAAGTAAATCGGTCCTGGGTCCAGGTCTTACCATTAGACCTACGGTAATAGCTTATTCCCTATATGGGAAATCCAATAAAACGAGTAAACCCCGTCAACCACAAACATACTCAAATCGGACATCACTAACTTTAAAAATACATTACCTTAAGGGGGTTTATTAGAATAATATATCTGTAAAAATATTTTTAATTTATGGTAAACATTGCCGACGAATAACGTTTTTCCCCTTTAGGTTAAGAGATGGGAACACAATAACAGGTACCATTCTTTTCCGAAAATCCTTGAAATACTGCATTAAGAAAAATACGAATAGTTCAAACAACATAATCCCTAGCCTATTATATAAGTGCAGACAAAATACTCACATTCAAGCTGGTAAATGGACCAGGTGGCCGAAGCGAACGTTTCAGAAGAGACTTCCGACCATCATCAGGCCCGACAATGTAGAATCAGTGTGATCGGCCTTGAACTTCACACTACTGGCAATTATATAACTCTTTCACAGGCATTCGCTCTACTAAGTCGTGCCTATCATCACGTGCGCATCTCAGAAGTACATTGTAGTTTGACATTTAAGAAGTTTAAAAAGATAATTCTGTACTTGTGGAAATAAAGCGCCGGGCACTTTTAAACGTCTGGACGCGGTCCAAATGCTAGTTCTGTTTTGGCATCGATGTTTTACTAACCATCATTATTCAAAAGTTAACAACAACTTAGTTTGAAATTATTTTTCAAATAATCAAACAATCTGCCATAAATTTTACTGATTTTGATAAATTTGCATTTGTTGACGTATTTAAAGTAGCAGATATTTATTGTTTTAAGCTTGTGGTTAAGAAAAAGGTTGTTCAATATTATTATATCTTTTACATTAGCTATAATGTATAAAACGTCCAACAACGTATGAGTTTTTAAAATATTTTAAACTGTTGAAAACCTATTTATAGTACGTATTAGAGACTTTTATCAACGGTAGTAATTTGGTAACGTCAGTCTGACGCCAAAGTTAATAATTAATTATTTAATATTCCAACTGAAATGGATAGAGTATAACCTTCAATTTTTTTCTCAGGATCGGTCAGTCGACCTTCTTCTTTGGTGATACAAAAAACTTAATCCACAGTCTTACCAAGCGATCTTTTTATAGAGGATGTAATTGATATTTTACAAGTTATTCGTTCAGTTAGTCGTTTTAAACTGTATACCGCAAGTTGACATATCCGGTGATAGTTTTGTTTAAGTGCTTGATATCC